CTTATACACTGAGTGGCCAGATTATTATGACCACCCCATCAGTACATCGTTGGGCCACCTTTTGCCTTCAATACTGCAGCGATTCTTCTTGGCATTGACTCCACGGGATGTTGAAAGGTGATGCGAGGAATCTGACACCATGCCTGATGAATAGCACCGTCCAGTTCTGTGAGATATGATGGTTGTGGAACCAGCTGCCTGATGGCTCTTTCAACTTCTTCCCACAAATGCTCAATTGGATTGAGATCTGGTGATTGTGGGGGCCACCTAAGCAAGGTAAGGTCTCACTCGTGTTCTCTTAGCTAATTTGCCTACAAACATCAGGTGGTCATAATAATCTGGCCACTCAGTGTATATGCATATGTCACATCGAATTAACGCCCTTTTGGTCAAAACGGTATAGAATATGTGTTGGTGCAAAAAATAATAAAGATGGAAATTGCGGTTGAACACACACAGCAAAAATTGCTTTGGTTCTTAACTGAAATACAAGCATCTGAAGCTTGGTCCTTAAGGGGTTAAAAGGCATAGTCCACTTTTTTTTAACAAAAGATGCATACTTCATTAAAGAAAAAAAAAAAAGTATTTCCTTAACTGAAATACAAGCACCTGAAACTTGGTCCTTAAAAGGGTTAAAAAGGCATAATCCACTTTTTTTTTTTTAACGAAAAGATGCATACTTCTTCATTAAATAAAAATGCTCCTATTTTTTTTTCTTTTTTTTCGTTGGAGACAGTAAGCATTGCAGATGCAATGCTCTGGCTCCTGCAGATTATTTATCCTGTCCAAGACTGCACCAAGGCATTATAAATACATTCCTTAGTGTTGTCACTGGGCACCAAAGAAAATTGGTTGTCACTGAGAACGCTTTTAGCGTTGTCATAAACACCAAAGCGACTCCAGGCTTCACATTTAAAGAGGTACATTTTATTATATCTACAACTCACTGAATACATTACGCGAACGTACCACGGGCTGTATATTAGAGAATTATTTCTGGGGTTCACTGAAACCGGAAATTGTTTTATGAAGGGTTCCTCCATGTTAAAATTGATGAGAATTGTTGCTATAAATACTTAGTGACATTAATCCCTCAGATTTTTGAACATAAAACAATACTGTAATGTGTGCCTTACTGTAATCCATGGTTGTTTCCCTTCTCTTTGCTGCTCTTCCTTTTAAATCCTTTTCTCTTCTCATGCTGGGCAGAACTTCTGTTTTGCAGCAGACTGCCTTGTCTCTGAAATGGATACACGGTGTCTGTGCGTAGGTTCACAACCTGGGCCAGCACTACAGGAAGAGGCACTCAGCTGCAAAGGGAAGTTCTCCCCTAGCATGAGAAGAGAGAAGGATTTAAAAAGGAAGAGCAGCAAAGAGAAGGGAAACAACCACGGATTACAGTAAGGCACACATTACAGTATTGGTTTATGTTAAAAAATCAGAGGGTTTAATGTCACTTTAAGTCTTGCAATTAGGAGATGGCAAATAATGCCTTCTGAAGATCCAGATCCAACAATAAGATTCACTATCCTCGAGTAAGTTTTCTGATTAGAAGTTCTGACTTTCTCTGACTCTAATCTGCATGACTGGTCGGTGTCAGTGACTTAAAACCCAATTCTAGACATTTTTTATTTTTGGACAGAATGGGAACAGTTTAGAACCTCTGTTGGGTTTTACTACTAGTTTTTTGGGGGTGTTTGTGTTGTGTCGATTCTGCTTACTTCCCATTTGGTCAGCAGCACAGGAAGTGCGGGGAATCTACTCAATACAATCAATTAAAAAACAAAACAAAAAAACCCTTCCCCACTATATACGGTAAATGTTGCCTGTGCTCTTGTTGGAGAGCATACCCGCAATTTCCGTCCAGCTGAGGATGCAGAAAGGGAACATAAATCTTCTCTATGGAGTCACAAACAGATTTTTATTACTGACAGAGGCTAAACTTTTCCCCCCGCTCTATTCCATGCATGCTCACAGGGGTTACTTCATCTCAGCAAGAATCCTGTCAGTGAACAGAAAAGAAAATAGCCGACAGACAGGAAGAAGCTTCTATGACAGAAGACTTGCAGAGTCTCCTCTGTCATAAAAAGCCTGCCTGTCAGCAATCCGTAACCAAAAGAAAAAAAAAGAAAAAAAAACGTAATTTCCACTTTAAATTAAAAGAAAAACCCCAACTGGTGGCTAACATTTTGGTATTTTCTATTGCTGCAAGGAAACATGTAATTGGCCACCAACTTCTAGACTGAATGGCTACTGGATTCTAGTGAATGGTCAGCCATAGGCCTTGGGGATCACTTTTACCATAAAAAGTAAAACATAAATAAATGTTTTAAACAAATCAATTCTGCAACACACCTCAAGATCCAGTAATACAGCAGGTAATACCTAATCCAACTGCAGCCGCATAAAATGTAAACAGCAAACCACGGAACTATACTATTTACTTAGCTTAATAATCTTTTTGATATATTTACATATGGCCTTACAGTTACTAACATTTTTGCTGCAGGGCAACATCTCTCATTTTACAAAACTATGGAAAATAAATGCAGGTACATAAAACTGTAGACAGGTGACACTGAAAGCTTTTAACATTTGAAATATTTAGCATTATGTTAAAACAAGGACTCTAAAATGATTCCTAAATCTGTGGTATGCGGAAGTGTCTGCGGGTTTTGTTAGAAGGGTATGCACATCATACCTGTGCAGAAATGTCTGTTATGAGTGTGCATGCGTGGATGTTGCCCGTGTGCTTTTATATTATTTTTTTATGTCACAACTTTTATTTCATTATGTAAGTTCATTAATTTGGCTTTACTATTACTACTGCCTGCAGGGCGGCTTCTAATTATCCTGATGATAGTATTCACAGAAGTGACAGGGCACCTTTACGGCAGGTTCGGAAAATGGTGTGAGCCTGCCCGCAGTTCCAGTGCATTCCAGACCAGACAAAATGAGACATGCAGTATTTTTCTGGTCTGGAACAGACTGCGCTGGTGTGAACAGAGGCCAGAAATAGCATAGGGATACATTAGGATGCATTTTGGGTCCGGAAATAATCTGGTCTGGAGATGATCTGGATGTGGTGTGAATGTCCCCCTAGTCAGACTTTTAGGTCTCGTTCACACTACCCTCAGTGCGTTTCCGGCCGGAACACACTGGATCGCATTGCGGCCAGCTAAGTATGTTGTGGGGCGGGAGGGGGCATGGCAGTGAAGTGAACGCAATGCGATCAGCCGCACTGGAAAGGAAGGCACATCAATGCCTGCAGTCAGGTCTGGTCAGAAAAAATGATGCAAGTATCATTTTTCTCGGACCGCACCACAGGCATTGATGTGCCTTGCGTTCCTGTGTGGCCGATCGTATTGCGGCTGTTCACTTCACCGCCACGCCCCCCTCCCCACCACACAATAAACTGAGCTGGCCACAATGTGATTCAGTGCGTTCTAGCCACAATCGGGCCATGTATGGTGTGAACAAGGCCTTAACGCAGCATTTTTTTCTGACCGGATCGCAGGCATTATTGTGCCTTGCGTTCCCACGTAGCCGATCACATTGCGGTTGGAGGGCGTGGCTACGGTGCCATTCACTTCAATGCACTGCCACGCCCCCTCCAATCTCACAACATACTTAGCCAGCCGGAACGCACTGAAGATGGTGTGTCTGTGGTCCTCCATCTGCGCTGCAAAGAGCATCAACCTGGCCATACGAGTCCTGCTGGCTGAAATTTAAGCAGTGTGTGCCCCATTGGCATCCCTCAGTTCAACAAAAGTTGATTTTTTTAAAATTGACTTCTGTCAAAGGAGTCCGGTCCTCAAATTCTCAGTGACTGCATACAATCAGCTGCAGTCACTATTCTAGTATTCTGATAGCGGCACATTTGAAGCAAAATTTATTTTCGTCAAATGGAAAGGTGCCGACTGGGCTACACACTGCTTGAATTTCAGCCCAGTCAGCAGGATTCAGCCAAAATTTTTAGTAGTGTCTGGCTAGCATATTCTTTCCAGCGCTCTTCTGCTACTCCTTCCTCCATTACAGCCAGTGACAAGACCTGGGTATGTGGGAGGACACATGACCTCTTCCCACGTCACAGTGCTCAGGTCTCCCAGCCAATCACAAGCACTGTGACATGACAGAGGGAATGACATCACCGATCCCTCTGGTGTCTGACACTAGGGATTTCAGTGCAATGGAGGAGCGGGTGAATCAGTGGGTCAGGAGGGCCTGATTGCCATGAATGAGCAAGGGGATAGTGTCCCTTTAAAAGGCATTTTTCAAGACTGGTGATCACAACAAACATAAATCAGCTGACATGTCTAATTTTAAGTCAAAAGCTACTAAGAAAGCCCATTAGAGCCGAGAGATCACATCCTAAGCAATCTGATAGAACTATTAACTTAGATTGCCAACAACTGTGCAGTGCCAAGGACTGCATGGATACAAATTGTATGAACTGTTAGGTTTGTCTTCATATTACATAATTTGGTGAGCCTAAAAAGGAGATTGTACAATCAAACTGTACAGTGTATGGCCAGCTTTACTCTCACCACACACATTACAATCTAATTGCGCAATCTCCTGTAGATCTAACAACAGCTATGTAGTGCCAGGGCCTGCCTGGATAATAGGTGAGGTAGGTCCTTGTGTTACATAGTTTTGGTGAATATAAAGTTAGCTGCATGCTCAGATAGTAACATGTATGGTGCCCTTAAGGTTTCGCACACAAGTGTTTTACTGAAACAACTAATGCCAGCTGCTGAATTAATGTGCCAAACCCTTCCTGCAGGCTGAAAAAACTAACAACACAGTCACCGCACACCTATGGTCAGATTTACTCACCACGCACAGCACCCAGGATCTGGTGGCAGCCTGTGACATTACCTGGCACCAGTCACCTGACTCCTCCTATGTGTCATAGAGTGTCACACTACGCTCCAGAGTGCCCCTCCTGTACCGGTCGCTCTGTCCTCTCCCAGACACAACAACACCCCTCCTCTCACCTGTGCCTCCCCACCGTTCCATCCTCCTCCTCCGTTTCCAAACTCTTCGGCTAGTTTCAGAAAGCTGTCTTCCGCCAGACCAGCGCGACACTTCCGCCTCTGGCTCCGCCCGCCGAGCACGGGACTACGAGTTCCCATGCTCAGACGGCCAATCAGGAAATCGACCCCACTGGCTTATAGGGAAGGAGGGGGGTGTAAGCGAGAGATCGCTGTCACTTGGTTTTGGAGTGCGTCATCGATTTCCGATCGGGGGCTGTGCCGAGGTCACTGAACGGGAGAAAAACAAAAACTTTACTCCTGTGGTGGGTCCCTCCTAGCACTGCAAGGGTTACCTTTGTTTTGTAGAGGGATCATGGCTTCCCTAGGCAAGATTCGATTCCAATAAATTCGTTTTCATAACGTTTGATTTTCTTATAGTTAATGAGGTCAAATCGATGATTAGTCTTTACGACCGTGGCCCCGAAAAAAAAACAAATCGGAAAAGCTGGATGGGAATTTTTCCAGAACTAGCAGTAAATGTTTTCGTTCAGGAAATTCCATTACTTAAATAAGATTTTAGACCATTCACCAAGTCTGTGATGGCGGGCATTATCAAATGTTGTGACCAGTAGGGTTGCCATCTTTTCTTCAAGCGAAACCTGAACACTCTAGTAGCCCCTATCTTAATTTTGGTTTCCCCTGTCTGCCTGACATCTTGTGTCCGGGTTTCTGTTGCTTTTAAAACCAGACAAATCATTCTAAACCCTAATGTCCAACTTATAGTCCCCATTCACACCTAGGCATATCGGGAACGCATGTTGCGTCCGTGCACATTTTTTCCCCGCATTTGCTAAGCATCGCCATTGATTTCAATGGGGTTCTGCACGTGTGACAAACACAGGAAAGTAGCTCATGTAGCAAATCCTGCTACTGGCATCCTGCGTCTTTCCCGTGCATTTGTAAGCGTCTTACAATGCACAGGAAAAACACATTTTTCCAGCTGTGTTTAGGGTGCCATTAACAAACAATGGCACCACAAGTGCACATCATTGGTGCATTCCATGAACGTGTGTCAAAGTGCACATTTTCCCCATGCTTGGGGTGCGTTCATGAAGAATGGGGATTTAGTGATTTACTTACGCAGGATGGTGTGTGCCCAGGTGAATTGCCACCTGAGGCGGCCATTTCCCCCACACCCCTGCATGTGGCAAAAATGGATGCTTCGGGCGTCGCACAGCGTCACTCAGCAGACAGGCCAAGTGACCATGCTACTCAGTTATGCTGAGGAATGATGCAAGTGCAGGCTCAGCCTCAGTGCGCAGAGCTCCTGACTCTGCACCGTCCTATGCGACAGGCGCCATGGTCAGAAGCTGTTCTCTCTGGGGCCGAGTCTGCACTCTCATTAGGCTCATCGTCACTAAGTTATCTTGGCCATTGCACCTGTCTGTCTGACAAGGAACGCAGAGCTTGTGATTTTACTAGGCTCAGTGTTTAAAGGAGAACTATGGGGCCAGTTCAAACCAATAGGAAAAAATTGCAGAAAATTCAAAAATGGCTTGGCCAGCTGATTTGAAAAATGTTCCGGAGGGCTTGGCAGCGAAAGGGTTAATGAGCTGCACAGAGGACAGAGTGTTCCATGGATGCTCCGGCCTAAGGGCTTGTTCACACCATTTTCTGGTGCAGATCTGCAGACGCGGTGCTATGCGTGCAGCGCGTTTTTACCACGTTCCGGACGCATTCCAATTCCTTTTTTTTTTGGAGTGGGGCTGTCAGCTGTTAACTGAAGTGCGTTTTCGCCACATTTTCATTGCGTTTTTGACGCGTTCGTGCGCGCTCCAGAACGGAGAAAATGTGACATGCAGTATTTTTTCTTTCCGGAACGGACTGCGCTGGTGAGAACTGGAGCCCATAAAACACATAGGGATACATTGGGATGCATTTTAAGTGCAGGAGCGAACTGTTCTGGTCCGGACATCGTGTGAACAAGCCCTAAGTGATGTCCCTCATAGTGCCGCCTGAGGCAGCTGCCTCGACTGGCCTCATATCACGGCCAGTCAAGGCACGGCCCTGTACTTACCTTATTCCTTGCTCCCACAGGCTTTTTTTGTGCTGTAAGACCAGGCCCTCAAAGCAGCTTCTCTTTGCTGCTCAACCACTCGCAACTCTCTGACATTATCCTGTACAATGCAGCATCAGCTGTCCTGCATTGTATGTGGGTTCACCAAGGGCCCGCCCATATCTTAGGATGTTGGACAGCGAAGGAGAGAGCTGACTGCTGGAGGAGTTCTGCGTTTACAAGTGGTCGGATTTACAGTTCTTCCTAAATGTGATATAGGAAGTTTAACTGAAAACTGACTCCTTTCTTCCCTCTGGCTTGAGAAAGAGGTTTTATCCTCGAAACGCGTTGCCACCCCCCTAGTTCACATTGATCCACCATTTAGCACCATTAGTGTCCACATGTCATCTCTTCCTCACCGCTTCCTCGTGGGATCTCCTGTGAGCTGGCTTCCTCCTCAATGAGAACTAGAGGTGCACCAAATTGGAAATTTGAAAACAAAAACAATTGTCAGGCTGAAACCGAAAATGTTTTTTATTTAAATGTTTTCAATTTGTTTTAATATTTTATTTATTTTATATAAACTTAATTTTTTATATTTATTAATTCATTTTTTATTAAATATTTTTATTTTGTACTTTACTTTTAGGGGCTTTGGGAAATATTAAGAGACTAAACAGACCCCTGACATTTACCTTTTAAAATCGAAAAAGAGATTGAGGACACAAAGTCCTCAATCTCTTTTTCTGCAGCCCCTGTTAAATATGAACAGGAATCCTCTATGCTGAGTGTTCCTGTTCATTCATAACATGAGGGCAGAGTGTGTTTACTATAACCACAATCATGAATGAACAGGAGGTAGATTACTTCCCATTCATATTTGAGGATATAGTAACCATACTATGTCCTCAATTATCTACAAACACTCAGCGATCACTGAGTGTTTGCTCTTCCTTCCTTCTCTTCTCCACACTGTCACAGGAGGCTGAGCGAGCGGTGAGGTAGGAGACCTCAGCTTCATGTGACAGCGCTGGCTGTCTCCGCCCACACACCGCTCTGCCGATCTGTGATAAGAGGCTGAGCGGTGTGGGAGGAGAGACACCGTCCGCTCACAGCGCTCTCCTCCTGTAGCGCTCGGCTGGCTGTCACTTTCTCCCCTCCCCGCTGGGACACAGAGCCGCGCCCAGCGTAGAGGAAAGAAAGCAGGGATGCGCCGCTGTATCGGCAGAAAAGTGGCACTTTCGGCATTTAGCCAAAAGTGCCATTTTCGGCCGATATGTCGGTGCATCCCTACTGAGATCCGTCCAGCTGTCTCCTTGCTTCACCACCCGCAAGTGGGACAACACCGCTGCCACCGCATCCTGCGGGCCACCTCAAGTTCGCCACCCCACTGAACCCTCTGATAACCAGCCACCACTCTTCTTTGATGATCAGCCACATTGAGAGCACTGCTGCAGCTGGATGCTGTCAGGCTCTCACTCAATGCACCTGGCTGAGGTTCTGCTTCCACATTTACAAGTATACCACCGCCACTGTACTCTGCTGACACCACCTGGAGATACAGCTCGTCATGGGAATGAAAACTATGAGACGGTCCCCTATGCAGGCTCTCCTCCCAAGACACACATAAGCTGCCCATTTCATTGAACATGTAATTCTACCCTTGGACACTGATGGAGCCACCCATAGGGATAATTTAATATATATCCATGATCATATGATCGTTTGAACCTTTACCAGGTATGCAAGGCCTAGAAAACGGGGGCTTTTAAGAAAAATATTGCTCTTACTATGAACTTGATCAAATATAAAAATTGTGTTTATTATAATGAATTAAAAAAACATTATTGCATTTGAATTAAGGCAAATTTGATACGTAGGTTTAGTACATGGTCCAAATACAATACAGTAATGGTTGCAGTAGTCTAGTTGATCGTGGAGAGATAAAAGATGGTATTATTCTCTAGGTGCCTCGACATGTTTCACCACATTAGTGGCTTCCTCAAGAGGACTTCAATCCTAGAAGACTATTTGATATATACAGCAAATCAATATCCATATAGTTAATAAAGGATTAAACATTTAAAAAGTTTACATAACAAAGGGAAAATAAGTAAAAAGACCTGCAACTTGTCTTGAACCAAACAACGAGCCAAATGGCATCGGAGGCCAAACAAAAGGCCCCTAACTCAAATCCAAACTGGTGATGGCAGTGCCGCAGCCTCTACTGAACCACAATGGCTCACAGTTGATATGGTCCAGAAACAGACAAAATGGAAGTGAAAAAAGCACCTAGACTTGATGGCTTACACCCATGTGTCCTCAAAGAATTGAACTGTAAAATTTTAAAGCCACTGTATTACAATTTTTGGAGACTCTCTAATGACTGGCATGGTACCAATGGATTGTCTCAAGGCCAATGTGGTGCCTATATTTAAAAAGGGATCAAAGTCTTTACCAAGTAATTACAGACCAGTAAGCTTAGCTTCCATATTTGAGAAGATACTTCAAAGTTTGATCAAGGAAAATTGAAAATATTATAAGCGATAGTCAGCATGGATTCACAAAAGTCATCAAACAAATCTACTTTCTTTTTAGAGGAAGTAAGCAAAAAATTGGACAAAGGAATGTCTGTGGATATAGTATACTTGGACTTTGCAAAAGCGTTTGACACATTTCCCCACAGGAGGCTAATGTATAAGTTAAGGTCAGTAGGTATAGAGTATTAAATTTGTAATTGGATAGAAAACTGGCTTAAAGACCGTATTCAGAGAGTGGTGATCAATGATTCTTACTCTGAATGGTCTGAGGTTGTTAGTGGTGTCCCCCAAGGTTCAGTGTTGGATCCATTATTGTTAATCTATTTATAAAGGATATACTGTAGTTGAGGATTAAAAGTACCTTTTCTGTGTTTGCAGATGACACCAAGCTAGGTAGTGGAATATGGTCCATACAGGATGTCCCTAATCTACAAGCAGATCTGATGCACTGTGTGATTGGGCATCTATTTTGCAAATTCATTTTAATGTTGATAAATGTCAAGTTATGCACTTGGGGACTAAAAACATGC